AGATTAGCGGGACTACCACCCATAAGTAAAGGACCTCACTCCACGATCAGGTACGATGATTTCTGACCTCGAACTAAACTGGGAATCCGACCTATACTGACTTGATCKTCGGAGTGCTCACCTTTTTGTGCAGGTCCGCCCAAGTATTCAGATTGGTCCGGAGGCCGAGTTCGAGTTGCAATCCGAAATACACTGTTGTGCATATCCTTGCATAAACACATCTAAATGGAGATATTTGGTGAAGGGCTTTCATGACTATTATTCTCTTATATATTGATGTTAATTGGAAAGCCTTTCGTGGTTTTCTTGGCTCCCGCAAGGACAATGATCGAATRTCTTTAAGTTATATTATACTTTAAAATTTTTTTAGTAGATTCTTGAACTTTCAAGTTAATGTTTAATGGACTCCCATGATCTTGATCATGAATCCTTGCAGCGGAGGACARTTAGCAAATCCATKGAATGAAAGAAACATAATTACTAGTACTGTTACTCGTRACACATTAATAGCTTTGTATAATGAGATGTTAGTAAGAGGTATTGTAACGGATAACAGTACCTCATGAATTTGCATARCGAAGATACATAGTTTTAATTTTTGTCTATATGGTTTTACAAGTTTCAATTTAGTCCTATGATAGAATCATCTATATGGTTTTAAAAGTTTCAATTTAGTCCTATGATAGAATCATCAAATTTCACATATGTGTGTAATTTGATCAAACTAAGTTATGATAATTTGAACTTTTTTACATCCTGCATGTTCCATTTGCCTTCGATTATAAAAATTTGTCTGTGTGTTCATATATATATATAGATATATAGATTCTATATTCGTGAGTGCTTGCACGCATATTTTCAATTAATCTAACGAGATAATTGTCTGACCCTACTAAGTTTGATGATGATTGTTTGTTGTTTTCAAGGTTTTTTTTAAGCTTAAATTATATATATATATAATATTAATATAATTTTTAAGTCAGTACCCTCAATTAACAAGTAGCTGGCACATCATTTTTTTTTTGTTAGCTGATCAAATGATTTCACACGTCATTTAGAATCATTTTCCAAATCCAAAGTAAAATTGTACTTTTGAAACTTAAGAGATTAAATGGACACTAAACTCAAACCTTAAGATCGAAAATTTGCCTTATATTCAATTACTAATTTGAATAATTGGTTAAAGAGTTAGAAACTAAGATTTAGAGGTTGAAATCTTCCTCCCTCAATTTGAATGATTAATCCTTGCCTTTTGGTTCAAACAATAAAGATAATTTATTACTTAATTGTACATTCTAATTTTGATATTTGCATTCATATAATTGTCATTTTAAACATCATGTCAATTACTCCCCAAAAAGTCAATGATTCATCTCTTTGAACTCAAAGAACAAACAAAGAAAACCATTCACATAATTATTTTTAAAATTAATTATGTATTATAATTTTTTTTAAGTAACGGTAAATACAACAACTTTTAAAAAGTAATTACAAATGAATTATTATAAAAAACAATTATTGAGTAACTTGTTTTTTTAACTCAAATAAAAATTTATTGATTTAACTTAATAATGCTATAATTTTGATAGTTATTAATCTATAAATTGATTAGATGTAATGATGGCTTATTTTGACAATTATAATACTAAGTTGTTAACTTCAAATTTGCTTAATTAGTTAAGATAAATATCTCCGACCAAAAGATCTTGAATTGGATTCCACGATCCCACTCTTTGTACTAAAAAAATCATAATATGAAGTTAGAAAACTAGATTTGTACAATAATTATCTAASATATTTAGTGAGCAAAATTAAATATCAATGTTGAGATGGCCGAGTTGGTCTAAGGCGCCAGATTAAGGTTCTGGTCCGAAAGGGCGTGGGTTCAAATCCCACTCTCAACATATTTAAAATGTTCTTTTTACCTATTTTTATGTTTTCATAATAATACCACGTGTCTCGTAACTAGTGGTCAATCTACTCCAACATTCTGGCGCCAAAAAACCCTTATCCGTCGCCCCCCAACTGGAACTGAAACCGGCGGAACCCTAAGATTCAGCGGCCGAAATTCAAGCTCTGAATCTGAACCATGCTCGACGTAGCCACCATTTCAACGAATCCTGCCTCTTCTTATGCTGCTATCGCCTTTCAATTTCGCCGTCCAAAATGCTCCAACATCCGCCATCAATGGCGGATCACAGCTTCCTCTGCCGCCTCCACCGTTGATCTCACCACTCTTCAATCCGCCGTCGACAAGGTCCGTTCTCGCCATTCTGCTTCTTTCAATTCCCGATTAGTTTCTTTTCAAAATTAAAACATTCGATTGGACGATATTGATATTGACTCCGTCTTTTACTTGAGTGTTGATCTGATTCACGCATAATTTCAATTTGTGTATATTTTGTATTTTGATTGTGAATTTTTTAGTGTAGAAAGATAGTAACGCAGTTAAGGAGGCGCTGGATCAGCTGAGGGAAGTTGGTTGGGCGAAGAAATGGGGTTCTCAGCCGTATGTATCSCGCCGTACGGTCAGTSTCCATTTCCAAGTGTGAAGTTCTTCTGGGAAAGTGCTATCCGAAACCCTAAAATTTGCCAAATCTACTTCACTATTTATACATGTACATCACATTGATGCCTATTTTGCTTTTGGAATCTTTTAGAATTTTAGTTGGAAAGTTGACGTCTTGCATACCTCTCTTTACACCAGACTTCTCTTCGAGAGCTGACAACACTTGGAATTAAAAATGCAGAGAATCTTGCTATTCCTAGCGTCAGAAATGATGTGAGTTACTTATAGTCCGTCTGGTAACGTTCTAGTTTCCAAATATTATTAAAAAACCTATCCTCAAAGTTGTATAGAAAAATTCTTGAAACAATCAAAACAAGTTCTTGTTTTCGTTTCCAATTTGTTGCAAAACATAAATATAAATATTGTTTGATAATCCTTGAATTCATGGGTGTTTGAGTCATGCAATTCTATATATATTTTTTTTATTAAAAGTGAAGAAACAGAAACAAGGACCTTACCAAACAGGCCCTTATTAACCATCCCTAGATTTTTTGTTTATCTTTGACCATTTTTGGTCTTGTAGCTCCAATATATACTGTTGGATTGGAGTGTTATCAATGTTATGTTTCAATTGTTTGTTTGCCCTGTTTTCATTTCTGATTTCGCGAAACTTATATGCATTTGATGCCTTTGAACACGCAGGCAGCTTTCCTTTTCACAGTGGTGGGAACGACTGGATTTTTGGGCGTCCTTGCTGGGCAGCTTCCTGGGGTAACATAAACTATGTATTATGTTTTCTAACCTGTTTGTTCCTGCACATTAATTTCTCATTCAACCACTTTTTAGCTAATGAACTGTATATTTATTTGTTTGTTAATATTGAGTTTGGGATGCTTTTTCAAGGAAAACAAAAAGTTTTTGAGTGAAGCAGTTTTTGTGTAACTTGCAAGTACTTTTAAAATTTTAACTAAACACTATCAATTTTTACAAAAATACTTTTAGTCATGGGTAAGCTTATTGATTTTAATTTTAATTTTGAAACAAAATACTTATCCAACCTTCCGGGGGCGCAAGCTTATTGTGAAGGCAAACTCTTATTCGAACTTTGGATTCATGTTATTGGAATAGGATTGGGGCTTCTTTGTGCCATACTTGATTGGGAGCATTTCGCTAGTGGTTTTGGCTGTGGGAAGCATTTCTCCTGGGTAAAATTACACTATTTCTTCAGTTGTTAGCTTTTCCTCCATGAGATTTTTCTTTTAATGTTTTCTCTCTTAGGCTCCTTCAAGCTGCCATAGATGGCTTTTCATCATTTTTTCCTGATTATCAAGAAAGAATTGCTGGACATGAAGCTGCACACTTCTTGGGTATTTGTTTCGTTTGAAAAGTAATAGCTAACCATCATCAGATGTGCCTGTTTCAATTGGATCTAAATGATGAACTCCTTTAAATTTCAGTTGCTTACTTGCTTGGACTTCCTATTCTGGATTATTCACTGGACATCGGAAAGGAGCATGTCAATCTCATTGATCAAAGATTAGAAAAGTTGATATATAGTGGGCAGCTTGATGATAAGGAACTTGACAGGTAACTGACTATTTCCTAATATTCTGAAGAATTGCAGAGCTCCCTTCTCTCTAAGATCCAATCTAATATGTGATATTGATGCTAGAAGCAAATAGTTCTGTAGATTTATGGTGAGTTTGGTATGACTTTGAGAATGGTGAAAAGTATTTTTAGTGAATTTTCATATTTTTCATAGTGTTTGGTTACATAGTTAAAAATGTTTCAAAAAATTTTAAAAATACTTGAGGTGAGTTTGAGATGACGGTAAAAAGTACTTTTAGCTCGTTAAAATAACATTTTAAATATTTGTAATGTTTGGTTAGATAATTAAAAACGAATTTGAAATTTCTAAAAATACTAAAAGAACACTTAAATGCTTTTTAGGGAAAACACTTGCTTAATGGTTCTTCTAAAAAATGTTGATAGAAGAAGGTTCTACCTTCAATCTCAAAAGTCATCCCAAACTCAACTGAAAGCACTTCTACAAAAAGAGAAAAACAAGGTTTATTAAAGAACGTTACACTTAAAAAACTTTCAAAAGTCATCTAAAACTCACTCTTCTTCGATGGCATAAATTGTAAAGTTGGATAGCGTTTGTTTTCAGGTTGGCAGTGGTGGCTATGGCCGGACTTGCAGCAGAAGGTTTAAAATATGACAAAGTAGTTGGTCAATCTGCTGATCTCTTCACTCTACAGGTCTCACATAGCTATGTAATTCATGAGACAGACCCCTACCCTTCTCCCTTCAACAATCTAACGGATACATTAATTTTGTTCTATCAGAGGTTTATCAACAGATCGAAACCGAAACTTGGTAATGATCAGCAACAGAACCTGACCAGATGGGCTGTAAGTAATCAACTATCAACAACTCTGGATAGTTTCTTGAAATCTTCCTTCACATTCACTTGGATAATTTCCAAGTAGTACATTAAAAAGGTTCAAGAAAATCTCTTATTCGCGATTGATTCAAATTTCTGTGGATACTTGGCTGTAGGTTTTGTTTTCTGGTTCCCTTCTGAAGAATAACAAATCCATGCATGAAGCCCTCATCAAAGCAATGACAGAGAAAGCATCTGTAATAGAATGCTTTGAGGCTATTGAGAAAGCTGCCTAGCTGGTTCAAACCTTTTTCTGTTTTCTTTTTTGTTCTCAACCTGTAAAGATTACCATTCTTTATTATATATATAAACAATAATAATGAATAGTGGGCCATGTCACAATTCTTTTGAGTCTCTAGCATGTTTAAAGATGATCATTGGAGATAATTTATCTTAGATTTTTGGTCGTACTTCTCTTAATAATTGATATAAGAACTATAACATATCTCAATCTCTTTGAAGGGCAGGTTAACCAGTTGGAGCAAAATCAAGCTCAACCATGCTTTCTCCCTCCTTTTGGCTCCTCCTCTTTCACTTCCCAACAATGCCTTCTCTGGCGTCGATGGCTTCGTCCTTGTCGGTCTGGGACTATGAGGATCACCCTATCTCCATTTAAAAGGAAGGGTAATTGTAGATGTTTTTTCAAGGGTGGCAGTTTAATCTATCTATAAGGGGAGGAGAAAATTATTTTTGGCTCTAGCTTCACTGTAATGTGGTTCTTTATCCTATTTCCTTATGAATTAAAAAGTATTTCAATTGGTTAAGAAACCTTAGCGGTGATTGGCGAGAAGATAAGAAAAATTTCTTCCATACAAGTCCAATTTATCTTCAACTGTTGCAGTATAACTTGTTTTGACGATCAATTTCCAAGAGAAAAGTCAAAAGTGTATCCATAGATCAAACTTGAGTTTATGGGCATGGAATTAGATGAGTCATAAACAAAGTAAAACTTTAATTGATATGACATTTTCATCTAAAAAGAGTGAATGCCAAAATATGAAATCAGATTTCCTTTGCTATATGCACTTAGACTTGACTTTATCATCACTTAGACTTGACTTTATCACCTAWCGGAAGGACATTATTTTCAAGATGTCATAAAATTTGTCAAAATACCAATAAATAAAAAGGGTTTCAAAAATACTTTTGAACCATGTTATTTAGTATTAATTTGTAATTTAGTTCTTGAACTTTACTCTACAACCATTTTTAATCTTGATAGTTTTAATATACAACAATTTAATTTTTGCCGTTAAAGTTTATAACAATTTAATTCCTGTTGTGAAATTGTTGTTAAAGCTTAATAAGTTTTTTATTTACGTAAATCAATAAACTAGGGAGGAACTAAATGTGTTCGTAAATTACAAAGACTCAATCGTTATACAATAAAAAGCGATACTTAAATTTGATGGTATTTTTCTTGGTAGGAACTAAATTATTGCATATTAAAACTGTATAGATTAAATTGTTACATATTAAAGTTCAGGACTAAATTATTACCGGAGGCTCAATTGCTATTTCAATTCAATAGAAGTCCAGGGAACCCAAAATTTTCATTAAAAAAAAAGAAAGACCTTTATGATATGCATACGATCCACGCCAATCAAGATAATTTATAACTCATTGATAAAGATGGTACATAACTAAATAAATTAGTCTTTATTTATCACTTCAAATAATGCTTGTGAATTTTCTTCACAAACTGGCAATCTTTCCTCCACATCCAGAGAAAGTCCTAAAAAGCTCAGACAACTCTATACTTTTATGAGATTTAAAGGTATAATTCTTACACAACAATTTATGATTACAAAGCCCAGCATTTTGCACTTACAGCCTCCCATACAATGAAAGCAAATCCTTCAATTTAGTAGCTTCTGTCTCCAAACTCTCAAAGCTTAAGGAATTAGGTATTCTCCATCTCCAGTTTCCAAACTGTGACAAAAACAAACATATCTTAAAACAATGAACCATCATAACAATCAAATCAAAAGATAACAATTGAATGCATCGTCATTTTTGGTGCATTAAAAGACTCAGATTGTACAAACTAAAACCAAAAGGCCAGGGCGATCTTAATATCTTATCTTCTGGTTCATACCCAAACACCAGTAAGGTCAACCATGAAATTAATTGTGAATCGCTCAAGTTTTTGTTTAATCTGAATAGGCAGAAATCGACTAAAACGCTACTTAATGTTGAGCTTAAGATAGGTAACTGAGTAATTGGAGATTTTAGTAGGACGGTTCATCTAAAAAGCACAAATACTTCAATTTGGGTAACATGTCCATGTCAAACACTCCGACACTTATTGGACGTGTATCCGAACACTTGTCTCAAATGTGTGTCACACACTTGTTGAACAAAATGAATATAGATCTAATACTTGTTAAGCACATATCCAACACTTAAAGGAAGAAAATAATAGTAACACTAGATAAAATAATAAAATTTGTAAGTAAAATACATCCAACTCATTTTTCTTAAGCATAAAAATGCATCAACTTGTTGACTTTGAATTTCCTTTTAGCATAAAAATGATATATATTGAAAAAAGAATGGTATATTTTAATAAAAGTGACATTGCCGTGTCTTTGTCCTAGATTTTTAGAAAATGAAATGTTACCGTATCTGTTTCGTGTAATATCCATGCTTCTTAGGTTATCACTTACTTGGGTTGCTGGAATGTTCATCCTTGCCGAACTCCCTAACCCAAGAACATCTTGCAAAGGTATTATGGCAGTTTGAGCCACGGAAGACAATCCTGTCCGGACGAGAGCCCAAGGGATATCATCTTCCTCAGTAATTGAAAGATACTTCAAAACCTGAAACAACAGCGGCATGTCAATACCATCTCTTATTATTTTGTTGTTTTCTTTTTTTTTTAATGATTGATTACATTTAGTAGTGAAAAGTTGTTGAAAGACAAAAATCTATACAACTCCCACTAGGAGTTCAAATAAAAGTAAATTAATCTTAAATGTAAATCAGAAGTACGGTGATGAAAGAAACTTGAAAGTGTGAATAAGATGTATTTTGATAAATGGACCATTTTCTCCCCACCTAGATTCTTTCAGAAAATCTCAGGTTTCTTTTACACCATATTCACAAAATGGGTTGCCTTTCTATCATTAGTCTATAGCGTTTTAGCCCTACTCTTGACCATATAACAGTGGAGAAACGTTATCATTGACCGACGGATCAAAGGCTCAAGAACAACCAAAGCATTAAAACTGAGAATCCCAGAATTTCCAACGAACAGTGAAAGACAGGTGTGCTTGGTCCTCCTCTGCTTTAAACATAATATAGAGCAATTTGGGCTTAGGACAGTTCAGGGGAATTCTCTTCGCAGCCATTTTGTAGTACTAAAATAAAACCTTCATGACAAAGAGAATCCAAACGAGATCTTCACCTTCAGAGGATCATAACATCTTCCAACAAGGCCTCAACAATTCTCTATTTTATTAGGGAGCGTGAGATTGTGAGCTTCTAATACAAAGGTTTTACTGAAAATACACGTGAGAAATACATGAAATTCTTGTCCTTCCCTCCTTCCAGTGTGTACCTCATTAATTGCTCCTTTAACTCTTCCATCTTCTCATGTAAGAGTTTCCTTGTAGTAATTCTGCACATAGTACTTCCTCCCAAACTTGGATACAAAATACCATTTTCCTGCCCTTGATTGCGTAAATCTGGGAACCTGTACGATAGTGGCTGATCTCCCACCCATTTATCATATTCCAAAACGAAGTCCTTCCATTCCCATTCTTGGTAGATACGTGGCTACAAAAAGGAAGAGGAGCTGTCTTCTCCTTTGCTCCAAATCCCCTTTTCGATCTTTTAAAATGCTCAGGCTCTCCAATTAGATTAGCCACCAACACATTCTCCCCGGACTCCTTCATGTTCTCCTCAAAGTGGTTATGTAAGTTGCCCAGCATAGTACCATCATCTTCTTCTCTTCGATGTTGTAGTTGTAGCTGGACTGCTTAAACTCACTTTCAGGTTGTCACATYTTTGAGGCCCCGATGGCCCATTTTCTCCTTACTTGGGGATATGGCCTATGGACTTCATTTGACCTTCYATTAAGGTGGTTTACATTAGCCTTGCCCGTGAAGCTTTATCCTTTATGGGGCCTTCCTCCGGATTTCTCCAAATCTTCATTTTATTCTATTCCTATTGTTACTACTATTAATATAATATCTTTTCATGTTTGTTCAAACCTATACAAAAGTTAGTAGTTTTGAAACAATATTCAGAAGCTATTATAGTTTTTGCTTGTGTGGATGTGAACCGTTTTTGCTTGTGTGGATGTGTTAGGTTCAGAGAAGGTTTCACGAACATTGGACTTTTCTCCTTCATTCAAATTGTCCCACCAGCCACGAATCTGCATTAAAACACAAAAATTAACAGAATGACACTAGGAGAGAAGAATCTACACTCATGATTGCCAACATCAGATTTTGTAACGTATTGTAAGGCAAGTTGAGAAAAGATACAAGCAAACATGAAAATTTTTACTGTGTCATTATCATGAGTTCCCGTGTAGACAACTTGGTTAGGTTCTTGATTGTGGGGCAAATGAGGATTAGTAGAATCGCTTCCAAAACCTGGTTCAACAAAATATATCAATCACAAAGAATAAACTTCAAGACAATCTCTTCAAAACAGGAACAACATATAACAGTTTTTACCAAACTGGAGGACAGCCATTCCAGGTGCCCCAATAGATTTTCTGAGCCGAACTACATCCTCAGTAATAACTCCCTGTCATGAGATGGTATTATAAAGCTTAAACCAATGCAAAATGTAGCTAAAACCAAAACAAAATGGATTCAATTGCAAGGGGGGTAAGGTAATGATAGAACTTATCAAATAATCTACAAAAGATGTGCCCATGAGTACAAAACAAAATGGAACCATGTTATTTCACTTTCCAAAAGACGAAATGCATATCACTTAATTCAGGAGTGATATCTAAGCCATCAAACAGAGTGTTTTGATGAGTTGGTGGAAAGTTTAACCTCCGAAGATTATGATTCAAAAGATAAATTCAGAAACCCGAAGCTCTTAATCTGAAATTTTTTTAAAAGAAAGATATTGTAACAAATACAAGTTGTCCACATCCACGATGTAATGAGCATTCAATATGTAGTTCTACGATTCCGTTACATTTTTATCCATGATTCCACAAAAACATACCAAATCTTCTGCAATTATGTTGATCTTCCCAACCGCTCTGGATATGGAATCAAATAAAGATTTTCCAGGCCCTGCCTACTGTCATCAAAAACATTTTTAAAGAAGATAATATGATATCAAAGTACAATCTTAAAAGATCTGCAAATTATAAGTCTGACCTTCCATCGTCCATTCATTGCAATTTTTGCCTCTGTAAATGTGCAATGTATTAGCACAATGAACAAACAAAAGAAACAAAACATGTGAAGTAAGCTGACAATTTATTTCAAAGGCCTACCAGAAGGAACTGCCCAGTACCCAGCAAATCCTCTAAAATGATCTATCCTGAATTCATCATATAGATTCTGTGCACGTTTAATGCGGCGAATCCACCATGAAAAACCATCTTTCTCCATTGCTTTCCAATCATATAAAGGACTTTCAAGTCCCAAGTAAACAAAAATTTGTTAAAAAGCTATTTCGTAGCAAGTTGGTCCAAAATAAAATTTACAAACAAGAATGAACACAAATACTGGAATAAGTACAATGAATATTAGATAAAAGAAAGTAACAGGTCACCATGTCGTATGATGAAATATTGAAAAGGTTTGTTAATCTACCGTTAAACTCAAATGCTTAAGATAGTAGGTTAAAGTGTATTTTAATGCTTTATATATTCTTACACTCTACTCACATGTAAGCTCAAATATTAATTTGATTCATGAAACCTGAAAGATGAACAACTAATATCAATTGAGGATTTGAACAAAGAACCTCCTACTCGAATACAATATTAAAAAACTAAACTTAAAATTTTAAGCTAATAAGTTAAGATATATTTTATTATTTTATATATATTCAAATGTTGGACTATTCTTCTTTGCCAGGTCAATGTCAATTGGGTTTTTGATCTAAAGGCAGTAGATAATGTGTACCAGCTTTTTTGTGGAGCAATTCATCTCCTTCAGCAGTTCGGTTCTTATGGATTGAGTTATGGTTTCAGGGGAATTCGTGGATATTTGAGGGCAAGAGCATGTCCTTCATTGAGAGTTTCTCTTCAGCTAAGTTTAAAGTCTCCCATCGGTGTTCTCTTGTTGATTCTTTTTCACATTATTCTCCTAATCTCATTAACGCTTATTGGGGAGTGTTTATTAACTCTTTGTAATTTTGTATCCTTGTCCTTTGTAATTTTGTTTTTCTTCGTTTTGGTTTTTCCCTCGCTCTTTTGAGAGTTTGTATCCTTGAACATTTGTATTATCTTTTCGTTCATTCAATGAGAAGTTGTATCTTATCAAAAAAAAATATTTTATATATTCTTAACAACATTTATCCAAGATTGCCACTTTTAATGCGTGTGATGGCCTAATATTTATTGGACCAAGTGAAAAAAAGTAAAGTAATTTTGGGACCATGGGTTCGAATTTCATAGTTCTTATGACTCTGAAATGTAGTAGGGCAACAATGACGATGAAGAATGTTTTCAGTGTAGCTCTTATATCGTATATAACATGCAGAGTTAATTTGCTGGGCAGGAAAAAACAATCTGATCTGCCGCCAGTTTATTTTACTACTTTGTTGATCGGATAGAAGTTGTTAGTTCATTACTTTGTATATTTAGTTAAATTTAGTTACCCTTTTAATCATTTTTAGTTAGTTAGTAACTGGTAAAATGATTGACAACCATAAAATGAGTGGCTAAGTCTCGTAACTTGATTTTTTAAAATTTTACTTAATTTAAGCTCGAGTAATCTTGGAGATTCAGATGCTAGATGCGTCATTATGAAAGTTTCACATTTGCTAGAGGAGAAAAGGTTATGCAAGGAGCAAATATGAGTTGAGTTGCAAGGCTGGGCTAATTAATAGTCATAGTAGGTTGCAGGTTAGTTAATAGTCACTTACACTAACTATAACTAGACTGTTAGTTAATTAGGAAGGAATGAGTACGCTGGTCGAAGGGATGGAAAGGTATGGGCATTCTGATGTAACAGGAGAGGGAAGTCTCTTAAATACACTGGGGAATGTTCGTAATTCTAGTAATGCAATGATGGACATTTATTTGTCAAAGTTGAAGGAGCAATGCCACAAGGACAAAAGATGGAATGAAGAATCAACTTAATGAAGGCAACTGGGCTTAATGGCAAGAGAGGTGAAGAAATGATTCAATTCTGCCCGAGAGGAGAATTACAAAAGATAGTAGCCTTGGGGTGAGATAACAGAGTGATGCTTGAGAATATGGAACAGATTTTTCAATGTTTAGCAAGTTCTTTAAATGTAGGGTCATTCCTTCGGTGCATCAAAGTAGGATGGCTTGGCTATATTGTTACTGCTTAAAAACGCTGGCTGCGGCCTTTTTGCATGAAAAGAAAATTGATCGTCTGGAATTTAATTAGATAGAAATAGGTTTAACGCTTTAGGTAAATATTTTTGTATGTGCTTGTGCCATGAGTTGTGGGAGAAATTTTACTTCACTGTTTCTTTTGAAAAGATGTTGGCCTCATAGTTTACTGTTTCTCAAGTCCAGAAAAAAGTAATTCTATGATGCTAGACAGGGAACTATGACCTTATGTAATAACTACGGAGAAAACAGAAAACATATTTCTTAAGAAAACAGAATGTACAATCAACCATCTGAATGAGACAAGTACAGTACACACCTGCCCCATAGTTGACCAGTTTCACTGAATGCGTCTGGAGGCACACCACTCACTAATACAGGAAAGCCCTTCTTGTTCTGCCAGTTATGATTAGCGTTAGCAGTCAGCATTATGAGAACATTGCACAGAATATTTCCATCTATCTCTACACATACAGAAACAACATATACCAGCAAAAATTGCTTCTTATTAGCCCAAACATCTGCACTCTGATAGCCAACATATATAGGCATGTCTCCCATTATAGTAATACCCTTCATATTTGCATAGCTGCGAACTCTTTGCCATTGTCTCTGGAATAAAAACTGTTGAGCAATGAATATATTTATCTGCAAAAATAGAAGTATGTGTGAGCAATTAGGCTACAGACTACAGAATCTATAAGCTCAAAAGTCAAACTGAAGATTCCCAAATCTTACGAAATCTCTTTCCCTTTGGTAAACATCTTCTAAAGCTGAAAGATGCCGATTTTTTAAGGGTTCTGGCCATTCGTACCAACTGAAACAATTTAACCTGTTATCAATAGCAGCAAAATAAGCTGCATCTTCAAGCCAGCCTGCAAAATTGAACAAGGACAAGAGAGACAGATGGTGAAACAACTCAAGTAAAAGTGATTTATTGTCTTACAAACTTTTGCCAAAGCCCTAGCAAGTTGGTAGAAAGGATGAAGAGGTGGCTAAGCTAGTGCACTATGTACAATTTTTAACGATCAATAAGATGATCTAAATATAACTACAAAGTAAAAGGTATTCTGCATAATATTAAAGATAAACCATGAGAATAATATACTCAGTTCAATTATATTAAAAACTCACTTGATATATCAGGGTCTCTACAAAATTCTTCAAGCTGACATTTAAGTTCACCGTCACTTTGAATTAACCTTTCCGCAGCCTAAGACAGAACCATAGAAAACAATTCGCCCGACCTTAAAAATACACTGAATATATACAAAAGAAAAAAAAAAGAAAAAAAGAACACAAAATAGGAATTTATCTGTGTCCTTGCAAGTCTGTATTGAGATCATGTAGCAATACGCTGAAATGTCAACATAAGGTTGCTCCTTCTCCATCTAACACACTATGTGTTTTACTTCTTATCATTTTKCATTTATAGCACATCGTTTCCTCCAATGAAAGAATTTGGCACATCAGCAACAAGTTTCTTTTGTCCCGTTTTTATAGGTTTAATAATTAGGAGTCTGTTTGGTTTTATTCCCGTTTCTTGTTTCTGTTTCCTCTTTCTTAATAAAGAATAATAGAATTATATGGCACCTAACATCCACAGATTCAATAATGATAAAACAAAATTTTTATTTATGTTGAAACAAATTATAAACGGGAACAAGAAACAAGAAACTTATTTTAATTGTTTCCAAAATTCCTATAAAATTTTGAGAATATCTATAAAAAATGATAAATACGAAACTGTAAAATAGTTGGATTTATTAATAAAATTATAAATTAGAAACAAGAAACAAGAACAGTTACCAAATGGGGCCCTATGAAACCAAATTTGTGCCATCATTTCAATGATATTTGTTTGTTATGAAAAAATAATAATAATAACTATGAAACCAAAACAACCACACTAACAACTATATCATCGACACTTTAACAATTGTTTAAAACTTTAAAGATGGGCTTTATAATTCTGAATCCCTTAACCATCTCTTCTCACACTGTCCCTTTACTTTTACAGGAGGGTCTTCTAATGAACACCTTCAATTCACTGCTCCCCTAGAGAAGATAGACATTTGACTTCACGAAGCTTTAATGAATTGGTGGCTCAAAGACAAAGCTAAAGTGCTTAGGAAGTGTGCACTTAGAGCTTTTTTATGGATTCTATGGCTTGAAAGATACCATAGGATCTTCCAAGATAAAGAGTCTTCTTTTGATGCTCCTTGGTGAGCTTGTATACTATACGCCCTGTTGTTGAAGTGCCTTCACAAATGCTTCTCTGCAATCACAACATTTTTTACAGCTAATTTGGATTGGAGAGATTTTTTGTTACAGTTGGTCTCTCAGAGAGGGTTCACTCTAGGCCCAGCCAGGAAATCGTTTCTATAGATATCCCCATTTCTTGTCCCCAAAAAATAAAAAAAGATAAGTAAATAACTTTCAACAATGGAGGAAGTTTATGAGACAGATTCCAAGTCGATATTCATTTTCAAGTCACTACACATATAAGCAATCCTGAAATTTTGACATGCAGCCATTCATGAGGGTGGGGAAGGGAAGAATTAATTACTGCATACCTTTGCTATCAATGGATCCTTTATATCAGCAACAGCAGAAAAGTTCACGTGGTCATGGTTGCTGCAAAAGTAACCATTCAAGGGAAGGATTACTCCACAGTGTCCATTCATAAAAGATGATAAAGAGATACTAACAATTAATCTCAATATGTCCAAATACAAAGTTTCTTACACTGGTTTTGGCAACTCGTCTTTTGTGAGCAAGCCATCTTTGACAAGCTCATCAAGAGATATCAAGAGAGTGTTTCCACAATTTGCATCCTGGAAGTTTTCACCAGATACAACAGAGAAAACAATGCACATCAGGTAAACAGATCAATAACATTGTTGAAATGGTTCGTGTAAGCAAGCATTTTTTTTTAATGTAAAATCAAGCTTTCATATGAAAAATGAAATAATATATATATATAAACAGGCAATCCAAAAAAAAAATAAAAAATAAAAAAATTATTATTATTAAATTTTTTTCAAAAAAAAGGCCAACAAAAGGAACCTAGGAGCCTGTACAAAGTGAACAACGTAATCATTACAAAAAGTGCTCCAATTGATCAGAACAAGAGACAGATGATAGTTACAAAATTCTTAGAAACTAACACCAAAAAGAGCCAAGAAACCTAGCCACAAACCAGCCATCTTCCAAGGGCCCTCTAAAATTTCTCGTATCTCTCAAGTAGGTATTCCTTTTTTTTTATATCCGTGTGTCCATACTAGCTTGCGCGCACCTCGACTAATCACGGGCCAACCGCTTGACCCTACTACATTTGGTTGACAAGGAAACTTACAGGATATTAAATCTTAGGTAGGTAGTCACCATGGTTTGAACTCATTCCCTCTAAACTCATTCCCTTAAGCAGGATATTCCATAGAATAGCAAAAAGAAAGTTTCACGCCATAGATCCCCTCCCTTGTCTTGAAATGGCAGGTGATACGATACCTCAAGCATACCCATTATCAAAGAAGTAGATGTCACTTTTGAACACGTGCAGATAGCCACCTTATCGAAGGGGCTAAAAGTCAGTCAAAATAGCTCAAACTCTTTGTTTTAGTTCCCTCAGCTCCTCCACCGTTTAGTGGCATAATCTATTACAACCAGACACGCAAAAGTCTCATAAAAATAAACATCATTGTGATTGTAATGGTCCAGACAACATAACAAGCACAAAAAGCCAGCTTAATGAGGGAGTCGTTTGATCATTTGTTTCTTCATTAACCTTTGGCTACCAAGGGCTGGCAGTTTTTGTTTCAGTGTTTTGATATATATATGTGTGTGCCCAGAGACGTGGATGGCTGGATTTTAGAATGCTTTCACAGGTGGCACCTCAAAGGGAAGGCTACAGTTTTGTGGAGATGTGCTTTTACAGCGTTTCCATGGAATGTTTGGCTGGAAAGGAATGCCTGCTCCTTTGAGGACAAAGCCAAGTCTTGGGATTCATTTTTTGTAATAGTGTTCAAGTTTTAGCATCTTGGTGTTGCCTTAGAAATACGAAATTCTTTTGTAATTATAGCCTCTCTTTGATTATGCAAGATTGGAGAGCTTTTCTGTGATAGTTTTTTGGGAGGGGGCCGCCTCGTCCCTCGTCCGTAGGCTGTTCTTTTGTTCTTTATCTGAATCGTTTCTTATCCAAAAAAAAAAAAAAAAAAAAACAACCATGCCACCTCAAACCAATACCAAGGGATAATACTGAGTCTTGCTACACCTTCCTCTCAGTATGCTGATAATAAGTGTCTACCTCAAGCCAATACAGAATTGGAATGTGAATAACCAAATGCAATAACCAGTTCCCAACTGGCCAAACCTATTTAATGGTATTCATTGAGATAGCATCCAAGTAAATTATTTCCAAATATGTATTCTATATTCACCACATTGTGATAAACTACTCTATTTCCTCATCAGTCGCACTGTCTCCTCCCCATCCCCCACCCCAAACATAGGAAAGATAAAGAAACAGAAGATAGAGAAAGAAGGGAGAAGGAGAATTAAAAGATTGATTGATCAGAAAAGTCATCACCTGGCCTGAGTATGGTGATCCCTCTTCGTTAGCCTTTCTCCCAGGAGGAACAAGAGGAAGAACCTGCATATTTGCAGCAGTCAGCCAAAATTGATCAAATTCCAAAATTTCCACATCTTTTTGCTATCCTGTAAACAAAAAATATATAAATGAAAGTTCCTTGTTCATTTTCCCCTCACCTTCTCAAAATACATCCGCGTTGAACTATACTTTTTTTAAGTCCTACACTTAAACAAAAAGTTACTTATTGACAATGGAACCCATTAAGTCTCAGCTTCTTTATTTTAAAAGCTCTCCTCCTTGAGCGACTGRTCGTGTACAGGGAATTCAATCAGGTGTAAATATAATTCTTTACAAATCACTGATTCATTAATTCAAGGATTACAGTACTTACGCATTGCAAAAATTGCTTAAAAATCCCCATTAATCTAATACAGTAAGCATAGAACTTAAAAATCTTTCCCACTTCCAAGGCAACCAAGAGACGCGGGTGAGAATCAAACCTGCCAAACAGAGAATCCCGCTTCATGAAGCCAATCAACAAACCTAAACGCCTCGTCTCCCAGATCACCAATGCCATAAGGCCCACGAAACGAAGTAGGATGAAGCAGAACGCCTGCTCTTCGCCGAACGTCAGGATTCGTCTCCGGAAACCATTCCCCATAGTGGGGCGGAAAATCCTCCCCCACACCAACTGAATCGAAAATGGCGTGGACTGTCAGATTGTGAGTGGAGGAAGAAGATGACAGAGGCCCGAATCTCCTGGTGGACAGAGTAGCAGTAGAAGCGTTGAGAGGTAATGGCGGTGGCGACAATGGGGGATTCCGGAGCTTGGGAGTGAGAGGAAAAGGGAAGAGTGAGGTTGAGATCGCCATTGTTGCGGAATTGAGCTCGGGAACAGAGAATTTGAATGGGAAGTGAGGGAGCAATCTGTTGGGCAAAGTAACATGTGACGATCGAGGTGGCGCCGTGTGGAGACGGCCAAATAAATTTCTTTTAATTTGAATTGAGTAGGTAGAGGAAATAAATAGATATTTTCTAAAAGTAATCATAAATATAGTATTTCCCAAAAACAAAAATAATAAAAATAATAATAGGGTCCTAAAGTTTCAATACTGTGTCTACTAGGTTTCAAATTTAAATTTAGTTTTGTTAGAGATCTACTAAATGCAAGCTAAGAATCGTATTAAGTCTTTTTTTAAGTTTAAGATCGGTTAGACACAACATTCAAAGTTTAATTAAAAATTTATTTAATATTTAAAAGATAAATTTAATAGATACAACAGTAGAAGTTTTTGGACTTAATAGATATATTTTAAAAGTTTAGAGACCGAAATTATAATTTAACCAAAAAATAATTAAGGAAAAGTGGTGGTGTGTAATTTTGGCCGAGGTGCACGACGTGGGCTACCGAGCTTCCTGCAAACAAAACTTTATACCGACGTGGTGTTCGTCCATGTACAGTCTGAAACTTAAATTAGAACTAAGTTCGAGCATGTGCCTTTAGAAGGTGGAACTTTACATTTTATTAAAGGAAACGTTGGAAATCATTGGCTTTGCCAGTGCGACGATCATGGTACCTGTCATGTCATAGGTTTTGTCCAACTATAACATGTCTATAGCTAATCACAACTCTTCAAAAAATAATTTATAAAATAAAATATTAGTTGCACCACTTATTCAAAAATACAGTGTTTTAATTTTTTTTTAAGTATTATAAAGATAGAGGATTGAGCATCAAACTCCTAGAAAATGAATAAAGTGTTTAACTGTTTAACTAAGTCCATATCCATAAGTGTAGGATCTTTTCAAATTAATGACGTCAAATATACTCTTCTTAGTTAACCGATATATTGAACGTAGTCAATTCAATTGATTGACAAAATTTTAACTAAAATCCATGATAATTGTAAATCGCTATAAAAATAATCATATTTTAAAAGTACAATATAGAAGAAAAAATAACTACCAATGACTCGTTTGGTAAACTTCATGTTTCTCCTTTCTTCATTTTTTAATAAATAAAAATAAGAAACTTGATTTTGTTGTGTTTAAAATTTCTATATAATTTTAGAAACCTTTTAAAAACGAGAAACGAAGAAAAAAAATTATCCAACGTTTATATTTCTCAAAAATTAAAAGTGAATGCTAAAAAGAAATGATATCGAAGGATCCTAAATGCATCAATTTTACTGCCCAAATATCTTCCAAATTCACCTTTACTCCATTGGTTGTTTGTGGAAATTGGATATTAGGTGGGTGAAGAGATGGGAGAGGAGAATAAAACACATGCAATTTTACACTAAAAATATGTCAAGTATGAAGTGTGCTAATACTATATCTTGTCTATATTTTCCTTTTGTCAAAACATCGTCTCATTAGCTAAAAAGGGCTAGTGTCATGGGAAATATGGGATCAAACTTGGCTCAAAAGCTTTTTGTCATTATGCCAGTATTAGGTTTACGGTATTAAATTTATGTCGATATGTCGATATTTTTACATGTCTATACATTCGACGTCAACATGAAAGATAAATCAACATTTCTATTATATCGTAAAAGATTTAATAAAACATGAAAAGTAACTGGCAGGAAACAAAATATTAATGATAAGAATTATGATTTAATCTAAGTATTTTTTAATGATTTTCTTCAAAAATATCTATCAATATTTACATATTTGCATCAACATTTTTCATTAAATTAGGACATCGTATTTTCGTAGACATTAATATTTTAGACCTTGATTAAACTTGTTTGTCCATAGGCATCATAGAATAACACATGGGCCTGGTGCCCATTTGTGTTAGCATTGTAAGGAGAGAGAGGAGTATAGAACTAGAACGTCCACGTTTTATTATTAGTGCCAGGTTTGTTAAAGCAACTATAATGATCAAGTCAAAAGACTATTGTCAAAAACGAGCATAGCTCAGCGATAATTGACATATATATCTCAAACTAAGAGATTGTGAATTCGAATCCCCTCCTCGACTGTGTTGTACGTAAGGGAAAAAAAGTCAAAGAGACTACGATGACAAGTGGGAGGACAATGAGTTTAGAAATGTCTTTTCATCTGTTATCAAACACGGTATATTGTTTAGAAAAATACTAATAACTGCATATTTAATATTTGTTATTTCGTCATTTCCTACCAATAAGCGTGCCTATAACATTTGTGACCTTTTGTTCAGTCATAGAATCCCAAAACTGTTGTAGTGGAAAATACGTAAATATCCTTTTTTTTTCCTGCCAAAAACAAGCCGAAGTCTCAAAATTGTTGTAGTGAATCATGACGGTTAAGGAAAATATGTAAATCTCCATTCTTTTTTTCCACAAAAAATACGCCAATAACTATTTGTGACATTATTTTATTTTATTCACTTTTCTCTATTTAAATTTCACGTCATGAGATTCCAAAATTAAATTGTGTTGGAGTGTTCGTACAATGGTGACGAGCACTGTGAATTCTGTTTTGAGTAGTAACATTTCCAACTATACATCTGAACATATTTTCAAAATAGTAGACTAGCTAAAATTTATTGTAGTCCTCGCCCACTTTAAATGAAATAATATATTCTTATCAGTAAGAGTTCATAATGCACACAAAATTAAGAAAAAAAAAATACATGCTCATAAAATCATAACAGTGATAGGGTTGCATTTTCTTTAACTGTCTTACCAGAAAATGCATTTTCTTTAATGATTTTACTTATATTCTAAATGTTTATCGAATTACAAAAATTTAAGAACATAAATTTGAGCAATCGACATGAATATTAAAAACCATGAATTAAAGAGGCCATAAAAACTCTGAAATACCTTATTTATTGAAATCCTAAGGTGTTCGACGATATCTTACAATTTTGTGAAACAACACCATAACAATCTAGATAAGGTGATTACAAAATAAACGAAGGAGAAAAATTCTCAGACACGATAACCATTTCACTTTTAGTTTTTTTTTTATATATAAATTAGGCTTGGTTACTCGTAATTTTTTAGTACATTTTAACCTTTCTTAGAAAAAAAAATTGTTTGATATGTTTTAACCTTTTTTTTAAATTAAAAAATAAAATTTAAACTCTTAGTTAAAATTTAGAAATAAAAATTAATTTTTTTAATATTTTATTTTGGGTGTTTTTTTTAAATTAAACTTGTAAACACTACTTTCACACATGTATTTCTTTATTTTTCAAAACTTAAGCCAGAAATTGAGAACTAAAAAACCTAACTTTTAACTTTCTTTTTTCTTTTGAAATTTGATTGAGAATTCAAATGTGTTTTAAAAATGGTATAAAAAAAAATTGTGAGCAAATGCATAATTTTAAAATACCACTACTAGAAATTGGAGCTATCGTGACGTTTTTTTGGCGTCACAAAAATTTTTCGTGACGTTTTTAATGCCGTCACGTATACGCCCATCACGAAAGGTATACGAGACGTTTAAAAAATATCACAAAAATTAGCACACGTGACGATTTATTAGCGTCATGAAAGACATGGACTTCCACGACGTTCATAAACCATCATGAAAAATGATTTTGTGACGGTTATAGAATGTCACGGAAAGACCTTGAACAGGGGAGGACAGGTCACGTGACATCCTTTCGTGACAGTGTTTAAACGTCACGAAAAGTGTATTTCGTGACGGTGTTTAAACGTATTGAAAAGTTTATTCCGTGACGTTTGATAATTGTCCTAAAAAATATTTTGGTGACAGTTTAAAAACGTCACTAATGATTTTATTTTGTGATGATAAAAAGAGGGTCACTGAATATGTATTTAATTTTGATTGCAGATGTCGCGGAATATAAATATCATATTGTCAACTTGTCGATCGAACACGCAAATATATTAATTTACCATAACAAAGTTGAAATATATTAAACATGAACAAGGAAGCTAATATATTAATTTAAAATGTACTAGTATTCTCAAACACAAATTACAGAATTACAGAATTACAGAATTAAACATGCTCTTTACACACCAACCCCAACAACGATCCTCAGCCACCAATTAGTTGCATTCCTAATTGTCGACATCTTTGGGGTAAGAAAGACCTAATGAAAAACAATACCCAAGTTAGATAAATGATTAAACAAAAACCAACYTTATCAACTTACTCGATAATATAAATAAAACAACCAACAAACGACCAAACAGAAGAAGCGTGATTCAAATAAACCACATGCCTGCAYTTTTTSTACATCCTTAAATTACATARCACAAAATATCACTACAATCATCTTGTAAGGAAAGTATCAATATGATATGATAACCAACAAAAAGATCAAACAAAGTTCCAACATAACAGAAGAGGTTACAATAACAAAAATAACCGAACACTTCTTCTATATCCTTCAGCAGCATAGCACAAAATGAACTTAAACAATATAACACAAACTAGCTAGTATAGTAGAGGGATTGTAAACGTACATTCCTCGTCTATAATCAATATTCAGTGTTCCTTGCAAATACAATTCCAACACAACAAAATTGATTAAACAAAAACAACCTACATACACTTCTTCTCCATACTTTAGTAATATAGCATAAAATATCATAATTAAACAAGCATCACAATAATTGAAAACGTACCATAATCTTCTACAACACTACAAATAATCAACATTCATATTCTTCCTTATCAACTTACTCAATAATTTGATAAAACAACCAACATAACGACCAAAGAAAGATCCMAACAGAACAAGCGCGATTAAAATAAACAACATGCCTACACTTCTTCTACATTCTTCAATTACATGGCACAAAATATCAGTACAATCATCCTGTAATGAATGTATTAATAATCAGTATTTATAAAACTTTTATRTACTTACATAACATAGCACAAAATATACTCAAACAGTATAACACAAACTAGCTARTATACCAGAAGGATTGAAAACGTACATTCCTCGYCTAACGACACTATCTATAATCAGTATTCAGTCTTCCTTGTGAACTTAATAATCTGATAAATGTGCTAAATTAGCTATAGTTACAGCATATAACAAGGACGATTCAGAAAGATTTAAGATTCAAATGTTATGGTATGAATGATGACGAAAAACAAGTTAATAGCTTACCTTTGTTATAATGGAACTTTGATGGAAATGGCCACAACATATGTAAGCTCATCAGGACGCGATCCGACAAAATAAAAAACCTTGACAACTTTTCGTTCCAGTGCGAAGCTTGCTCCTGTCATATAAAGCAATGATAAGTAACTTAGGAAAAAGGGGCTTTTTCAAAACATTTGACATAAACAATAAGAATAATGCAGTACCTCATATGCGTTGAGGTACGAACCCAACCAAGAATTTCTTGTATGATAAAATAGCTACTTCAAAGTAATGTGTGTGAYGATTTAATCCTACCATAAATTTTGAATATTCAAATTAATCGAATTGTWATAAGTACTACAAATTTTAACCACTGTCAGTTGCCTCAAGAATYATGAAATATATTATTCCAATAACTACATSCTCTTTCRCATTCACCRSTTTTTTGAATTCCAAAAGTGTATTCTGCACCCAGAAAATTTTCACAACAATACAWCTACACAACTATAAAGTTAAAAGCAAAACAAATATAAAATATATATGCCAAAGTTAGAATGTTAAACAAACTATCTTCGTAATAGATAAAAACATAAAAATCTTCACATTGACCCTATTTTAAAATGCAAAACAAGAAATATGTAACTGTGTATGAGTAGTATGTTTTTTGCAAGAAAAAAGTTGAAAGAACAACCCAATACATTAAAAAAAGTGTAAGGTCCCTATAGTTTTTGTCCATGGGAAGCAATCAAGATATGAAATCACATTCTACTCAAATAAACAGCAGAAATGCCTCATTGCCATTCAACTCAAATATATGAAATCACATTCTAATAATTGTCTACAAGTTTMTGCGCGCTTTTGCAAGTATTGGTGTATCAGTGCGGATGTAATTAGCTCAATAATGTTCCATGAAGGCATTAATATTTGGCTTTGGCATTTTATCAATCAATTTTCGAGCAAATCTTGGAAGAATCGTTCAACGTAAAAATGGAGGGTGAAAGAATAAAAAAGAAAAAAGAATTAGAAAGTAAAAGAAGTTAGTAATTACCTTAATTTCAATTTCGTGTGGTTCTTTGATCTTGTTGGAGTAATTGAACTACTGTGAGAGAGACGAAGAGACGTACGGCAAACTAAAATCCAAAATCCAAGATGGAGGTTTTAAGTTAGTCAAATAAAATAAAAAATTGAATGAATTCAGAATTGGCACTGAATTAGAAAAATTGAGAAATTCGACAAGCTCAAGCTGGGCCACGAATCCACAAAGGAGCACGACGATGGTAAACAAGTAGAGGAAGATGGGGGGGTGCCTATCGCTTCTTAGTAACTTGGTAGTTATACATTTAGAAGCTAGCTCCAAATGTAGCTTCAGTAACTACCCAGTGAAAATTGCAAACACAATTTTACTTCTGTATCATTTCCTTRTAAGTCAGATCAAAACTTCAATCTRTATATGCTTTTGTYAGAGTATTATTCCACTAATCTCAATTGAAGAAGAAGTCCTACCAAATCTGTYTCATGAATGAACTATGGCCCTTCAAAATTAAGAAGRGATATGAGTTCCTATATAACGAAAATTTATTAAATAAAGCAGTACCCACATGCCCTAGAAAGAAAAAGAGAAAGAAGGAAAGAGGAAGATTACCCYATAAGATTAACGCGAAGCCGAACGCTCAATTCAACAAAGAGCTCAAACATCTGGCCCAAATCAGTAGCATTTACATGGGAATAAAGTAGAGTAGCAGATACCT